AAGCATACGTAAAACTTTTTTAAGAGGATGTACTTCACTATATACATAAATACCATATACATGTGTACAAACATAGCTACCAGAGTATGTGTTAACCGAAAAGTATGTTCGAAGTGTCAAGTATGTATATTCAAAGTTATTTACGTAGATATGAATATATTATTGTTATTATTTATTAGTAAATTATTTAATAAGCAGATGGATATATATTTAGGCATAACTTTTATATATATTATATATATTTTTCAAATATTTTCCTATCATTGAATTTTCTCAATTTATTTTCTTTTTATTTGATTTTACGTTGGTTGTGATTGATGTCAATCCCTGAGTTTGATCTAAATTTTTCTTAACGCAAATCAGGCTTCATGTCAATGGATGACTCGTGAATGAGAGTAATCGTATTTAAAACGTTAGAAGAATCGGTTTTGAGAACATTTTCGTTAAAAAATTAAATTAACTCGGAGAGAACTTTCAAGATCTTAAAATTTAATTACCAAATATTCTGACCAGAAACGTTCTGTAAAAACTTTATGGTCGAGTTTTTATTCGGTATGACATCTAAATGCAAGCTTTGACAAAATTTAAATGTTTCTGTAATATTAATTTTCATATGTAGACTTAAATTAGTGTGCAAACACATCGAGAGATAATGGTGAAAGTTGAATACTCTAAAAATATTTTTTTATATTTAAAATAAATCGACATTTTACGTCCAGTCCATATAAAGTTAAGAGCACTAGGAAAATAAAATTGTTGTCCTAAAAGAACCCTGTACTGAAATCCAGTAGCTCTTTTCTTGACTTTGTGCAGCCTGTGTCTATTTCATAAAATTTCAATATTTCTCAACGTGGTCATAAAATATATTATCTTCTTTTTAATTTGTATTAATATATATTTTAATTTTAGAACACTATTTTAGTTTTCTATTTTCCATATATATTTTTTTAAGGTTCATTTTGGCTTGCTAAAAATTTCTTTTCATTCCTTAATAATTTAATACTTTTTTTTCATGAAATCTTTGCATCCATTACTCTGAGTACGCGGAAAGAAATTCCTCTCTATCAGTTTAACTCTTCAGAGTTTACCATTACAGCGGCACTGTTTACATTAAAACAGGATTTTTTAGGCTACAAAAATATATATGTATTTCCTTGAAATGGATCTGTTTGAATCATGTTCAACTACTTCATATAATATAATTAAAAATTTACCAGTACACCTTTCATTATATTTTTTCAAGAGAACGGATAAATTGGCAAACCACAGGATGGAATTTGTACTACAAACCTTTAAAGGCATTGAAATAATATTATTGCTCCGCCATTGGATGTCCCACTTGAAAGCCCACTATAAAATTTAATTCGAAAACAAATACTCTGCAACTAATTACTTACACTTCATTCCATATACTTATAGTATATTACATACATATGGAAGCACGATTTAAAAAACAAACGTATTTATTTATCGCGAGTTCAGATAAAGGTGAAGTTTAATTTGCCAACCAAAAAGTTTAAATGCGACAACTACAAATTTTGTATACAAAATGACTTTGGACATACGAGTTTCTGCGAAAATTTGTACGAGCAATTGTTGACTTGCGTACATACATACATACAAACACTTATGCAAACATAGGTAGTGCGAATATTGCAACCTTAGCGATTATGCATTAACTTTTATGTTTTGGGTGAGATTACGCTGGAGGTTGTTGACTGAAATTGCAGCCTGTGAACTGGCGACCAAAGAAAGACCGCTTAGTGTGTGGAGAAAATATGTATGTATGTATGTTAAATTTTAGTTGTAGTTGAATTTGAATGTATAATCGTTTAAAGTTTGCTTTAGTTACTTGCCAGTGCAATTTAATTTGAAAAAATATATGTATATGTATATAACATAATTGCACATAAAACTTCACTTGACACAAGTTCAAGAATATGTGATAATACATAAACATACGTGGATAAACATTATATAATATATTGTGGAGACTTTAGAACGAGTATAAAGAAGATATAAACTAATATGAACAATTTGGTCAAAATTATTGGAGACATTAGTATCGCAAAGTTAAAATTTTTGCAGAATTCAAAATACCCGTAAAGCTACTAATAATTACTCTAAACAACTAGGAATACCATCTTGAAAATATAATACATCAAAGCACCACCTCAAAACCACTGCCTTCTCCAGTTGCTGAAAAAAGACTTATATGTATGCATGCTGAAATAAATTCCTATATAGTGTTGAGCTACTCATAGAATCCATATTTGGGACGGGTATATTTTTTTATATTATATATTATTCAATAATAATTTGGCAACAAATATATTTACTTGTACGGATTTGAAAAGGCTACAAGAGTACATACATATATTGTATATGAATGAGTACAGGTTTGCAAAGTCTTGAGTTATCTGATTAGCATGCAACTAGCAAATCATTGGCAACATATCAGCAGCTATCAACTGCCGAAATAAAGAAATAAAGTAACTACGGATTATATTTTTATGTACATAGGTACGTGTTAATAGTCACTATAACTTTTATTGATTATAGGGGTTACGATCACATGCTATAATATGGTGACAGTCGGAAACCTTGGCCTCTAAAGCCAAAAATATATAAGTTGCTCCGACAGAGGATTCGTCATTTCAGTTATTTAAACATTTTGGATTTTTCTAGATCTTTATACATATTTATGTATTCGATTTGTTAAACCGTGCAGAGTGGCGTATAGAACTAACAACTGGTATAAATACATTAGATTAGAATAATTAAGTAGACACAGAATATCATGGCCTCATAGCGCTTTACTGAGGTATCCTCATATTCTTTCGATATACTCAATTATAATCAATAAGATTGTTGTTAATTTGACCTGTAAAAAAACGGGCACAGATTAAGAGTATCAAACAGAGGCGTGAAGAATTGTTATTTACATAGTTAAGGATATAAAGTTTATATGAAGGAAATATTTTGAGCTCATCATGAGCTTTTTAGGTTGGCTGAGTGATGATGAGTGCTGAGATCCTTCCACCTCCCTTGCTTCCAAAAAACTTCAATAATTGGGATTTGTCAAGACTTTAGACTTACCGTATAAGCGGCAATTCGACATCATAAGAAACACCATGGTCTTGGACTGCAATTATTATTAGATATAATTTAGGATATAAAATGATTTTCATATACATACTTTACATCAACTTATTACTAGAAATAGAGTTTCGAGCAGCGTACCTACCTCGAATTTCTATTTGGGACTTTTGAAAGTCATACAATTTTATATTATTGACCGTTACTTTACGTAATCTAAAACTGATTTTGCGATCGTTATAAGCTTGTGAGAGGATTTGAGGCAATTTATACGAAAGGGTCGTTGAAAATTGGATCGAAAATCATTGAATGAATTTGTAGATTGTAAGTATAACTAATGAATTTATTCGAAAGTTTGAAGTTGGCTTTAGTTTCCCATACAGTGCATTCTTATTTAAATATAATATATTTTATATTTTTAAATTAAAAAAAAAAATTGAGTAAAACATACTATCGCTAACAAATTTAACAACGGATTCTCCTTGTGATCATCACAGACTTTGCTATTTATATGTTCAATAATACTGTCTAACAAATCCAAAAATACATCACATATAGGCCACTATGTTTAGAATGGGATAAACTTTCCTTGTCACCTACGCGAAGTGAACGTACCATTTGGTGGGCTGGTACGCACATATTTCTAAATAAAATACATATAAATTTGGCTTTGACTCTATAGGGCTTTTTAGAATTCAATTAATGTTTGAATTCATGGATATTATTACCACTACCACTACCACTGTTTACGAATATTTAACCAGCTTTTTGTGTGTGGCATATAGTAGTTAATAATTCGGCGGCTTCCTCAAAAGCACCAGTAATTTCAATTTATGTATGTACATATATGTATATTTATAAAACAACAATTGAAAGTGCTTGATTTCCGGTTGCTCATGAAAATAGTCGTAAAAACAAACGCGCGTTCCTTCCTTCCTTCTGCTTTGGCTTTGCGGTGGCGTCATAGTTTTTTATTAAAAAAGTTTGAATAGAATAAATGCACAAACAGATAATTGATTTCAATTGATTATAGAATTTTCGAGCTATTTGGAAATTCTGTGTATGTGGAGATTTCCAGTTTCCAACTTTTCCGAACAATTTTAAATAATAATTAAATGGTGTGGTTCTTGGAAAAAATTACTTTTGGTAGAACAATTTTTTGTGTTTTCTTTTATTTTAAAATATATGTAAGTATATATAACGACTGAGTTTCATTCAAGTGAGTGTGCATTCATTCGCTTGCCAACTGTACTTAACGTAATGATGAAGTTCATTGCTGAAAAAACTTGATTTCACAATTTCAATGTTATTCAATAAATGTATACACTTTTGCATAACTTTACACGTATATATAACAATTTAACTAGGGATCACATGGTACAGCAAATTTGGGTAGTCTCCAAATCACGCCTCCACTGCCAACGCGTGAGGGTCAAAGTGATTTAGACTGAATAATTAAAAGTTTCGTTTTAAATAAAGCTATATTAGTATTCGGTCCACAAAGCGCCTAACAGTGTTTAGTAGAAATTTTGGGGTTTGACATTTGTATACCCTATTCAAGAGAATTAAATATGCAAAGTAAAGTTGCAAATTTAACAATTTTTTGCAAAGTACAACGTAACGTAAATATTGAAATATAGTAATAGACACTGTCGCTTTTTTTTTTAATTTTTATCTGTCTTTTTATACTTAATAACAAAGTTAGGTATATATATGTACAATAATATGTATGTATTAATGTATATTCCTAATCTATTTTATTATAAAATACTGATACTGTCAAAATTATTATAGCGTTAAGTGTTTAGAAATTTTTTTGCGTTACTACAAATTAATGACAGTCTGGCAAACCCTCTGGTTGCTATCACATAAAGCTGCACTGTTTGGCAAATTTATGCCGATAAAGCAGTTTATACCTGCAATTGACTTATTTAATGGCATTTTCACAAGTTTTACCAATTTGATTACAGACTAAACAAATAGTTTAAACAAAAGATTATTATTTTATCATATTTAAAAGATACTTTTAATATATTAAAATAGTGTATTATTGAAATAAATTGAAATATTTTTTTAATTTATTACAATTCGTGTTTGACGGATACGCCGACTACCAAACTCGACAAGAAATAAATATATGTATTTGCATTATACCTATAGCAGTGCATCGTTGGAAAATAAACGTATTAAAAAATGGGGCGTCGTTGTTGTGTAACTGGCTGCAACTCTACTTCTCGTTTACCGGAACATCATGGTGTCACCTATCACTCGTTTCCCTTGGATGCACACATACGCACAATTTGGCTGCGTAATACGCGGCTTAGTACAGAACGACAAATTACCAAAAGCGTACTTGTGTGCTCGAGACACTTTCGTCGTATCGATTTCCAACCACAACGTAGTGGAAAGTACCTACTTAAACAACGTGTATTTCCCACAGTATTTCCATGGGGAAAAGTCGATCCAACTCAAGTTGAATCGGATTTAGAAGACCTTAAAAACAATAGTATGAACACATCAAGTCTTACAAATCATTCAACAGAGGATGCTACAAAAGCTACAGTAGAAGCCAAGGTTGCACAAATAATGGCGGAAACTGCTGAACGTAGTGCAGCAAAAGCTAACGTAAATTCCGTAAAGGATGATGTCGAAACTGCATCGCCCATAAATACACCAGTTTCTGCATCCCCGGCTGCTATTAAATTTGAGCCGGTTACATCATTTAATCCTGGTGCAAGATTGGAAGCACAAGATTTTGATGGGGTGTGGCATGCAGCGCGTGTGGTTGAAGTTGACAATGATGACAGAGAAGTGTTAATAAAATTTGAACGTTCGGGTAAAGTAAAGTCGGCAGTTGTCGGCACAGAAGAGTGGATTCCCATGAATTCAACACGGTTGCGACAAAAAGTTTCAACAAAACCAGTACCAGTTTTCGAGTTAGATGAGAAGTGTATGGCACGTTGGTCCGGGCCCAGAAAATTCCCTGGCACAATCAAAAAGATACTCGGAAATGATATGTATGAAGTACTCTTTGATGACGGCTATGTAAAAAATGTACGCGCAGTACATATTAATAAAATATTACCTTTGGACCCAGAGTTACAAACACCAATATCATCGCCGACTATACTTAGCACTCCACAAACACTTTCAACAAATTTGCCAGACACATCAGCAACATTAAAAACTCCAAACGCCGAATCATCAACACCAGTGGCATCAAGTTCAACAAGTGGAAAGAAACGAGCTTCATCTGGTTCTCGAAAGGATTGGCCATTACTTGATCTGGCAAAATTGGATTTATGTAAGCAAAACGGTAGTATTTTTAAAAAATGTACTAAACTTTTGTAAATATTTTAGCTTCACTAAATTTACCGGACATTCCAAAAGACGGAGAATGGACATGCCATTGGGTAAACGATCAACCAATTGGAAAAGAAGGTTATCTTATTGTCGGTGAGCATCGAAAGCCCACAGTAATCGTTGAAGATTGGCGTTTGCCACCAGGCTGGGTGAAACATATGTATCAGCGTTCAAATGTCTTAGGCAAATGGGATGTCATATTAGTTACGCCAGGCGGAAAACGTTTTCGCTCAAAAGCTGATTTGAAAATTTTTCTTGAGGAGCAAGGTCAGGTATACAACCCCGATATATACGACTTTAGCATTCATCGACGTCGCGCTAAAGATATAAACGCCTATGTGTATACGCCAGATTATACGCCACAGCCACCGCCAAAACCAAAAGCGCTAGAAACTACAATTGCAGCCATGGATGCAGCAAGTGTCAAAGCAGCTACATCAGCACTTGCTGTCAGTACTTCACAATATATTGAAACACCCGTGGCCTCAGCCGAACCCCCAGTAGAACTGATGACGCCTACTTTTGGAAAAGATTCTCCTTCAAAAGACACTACTTTGGATATTACAGATAATGCAGACGCTGTTTCGGGACGCTCAGTGGATGCTAATTTGCCAGCAGAAGATGGTTATGGTACTATAATTATTTGTATTAATTTTTAACTGCTAATTCATTCATATCTTTACATTTGTTTATAGCTTACATAGGTGGACTAAAGGTGCAAATAATCAATAACCTCTTCCGTTGTCCACAAGAAAGCTGTTTGAAGAACTTCCGCAAGGAGGACCACTTGCAAATCCATGTTAAGCACTATCATCCGGATTTGAATAAGCTTCTTGGTTCGTGTCCAAAGATGCTTGAGCTGGCAGAAAAACGTACACATACTAAACCAGACCAACATGAACCTGCTCCGCGCAATCAAATTCCAAATCAACAATTCTTTGCTAAACTACATCAACAAGATTTACTACAAACGCGCGCACATAGACGTAGTGCTGGCACACATGTCACAACAATTGGCAGTGTCTCTCAGCTTACGGTATCTACAACGGATTTCAAATGCGAAACCGACAACAAGATGGATACAGACGCTGATGCAGAAACTTCACAAATATCTGTCGGACTTAATGACACCTTGCTTAATAGCTCGGCACAAGATAGTCATAATAGTACAGTCATAGACGCTATTGTGGCTACTTCAATTGCAGTGGATGATAGTTTATCCAACATTTCGGGTATACCACCTAAACGTGCGCGCATGTCACCAAGTAAGCGTACTCTGGGCTCACGTAAAAGCAACCGCCAACGCACCACTAGACGATACTTGACAGCTGCACAAACCACAGCAGGTACATCTTTGATACCTGTTGTCACCGCTGACAATAGTTTTGGTGTGTCCGATTTCGAGGAGACTCGCCACTCCTTTAATGCCACTCCAGACGCCAAAGTTGTAGATGTTGGCAAGAAACGCAAATCTTCTGGCGCGCCAGTCACATCAATGAGCAGCCTTGATTCACCGGTAACTGCTGATTCGGGATCGTCATCGTTTCCACCACTATTGGCGCCGGCTTCTAATGAAACTGATGCCATAGCTGGTGCATCCAATGTAAATAATCCGCAGTACATAAAGGAAAATGGCGAAATAATAAAGATTGTTAGCATGCGTCAAGAGGAAATAATAAATTGCTTGTGTTCATATGGCGAGGAAGACGGTTTAATGATACAATGCGAACTGTGCTTATGTTGGCAACATGGCATTTGCAATGGCATCGACAAAGAGGTGGATGTGCCAGAGAAATATGTCTGCTTTATTTGTCGAAATCCGCAACGTGGTCGCGAATCAATGCGTTTCAAACACGATCAAGATTGGTTATATGATGGAAAATTACCAGTGGCCAATTACCACATCGCTAATCCAAATCTGCCAAAACGTTTCGAATTTTTGAAGAAATCACATGTTCTCACTGGAAATTTGGTTGAGTTAAATCGCTTTATGCATTCGTTGCGCGTAAAAATGAACATTGTCAATAATCGTTGTCATCCCAAGTTGTATTTGTGGGCTAAAAAGTGGGAGGAAGACATTGCGCAGCAAAGTATCAAATCCGATATAAAATCCGATCAAGATATTAAAATCGAGGATGCCGAAATCGGCAATAAAATGTTGGGTGCCAAAGTGTCGCCAACTAAAAAAATTAAATCAGAGCCCACTACACCTACACCAACACATCCCATTCCTAATATACCACAACCGGAAGCGCCTATCGATCCAGTAGAGTGCCAGCACCGTTTAATGGAGCATATTAAAATACAACAGAATTTAGTGCTAAAACGTTTAGACGATATTGAAAATGAAATAGATGGTTTGTATGAAATATTATATATCATTTATTAAACGTTGGTAATAATGACATAACCTATCTTTACAGAACTTGAAAGTCAGGATGAATTAATCGATTTAAAAGACGCCGACTATAAAAGTACGAAGGATATTTTGGCCACGTTCATCAAAGAGTTGGATGTCATGAAGCAACTAGCGAAACTAAATGCTTTGGAGAACACCAAACAAACAATGAAAAATGCCGTAACCGCGAAGTAACTTCGTGTTCGATAAAAACAAATTCGATTCGTAGAATTTAATTCAGTTTACAATTTTTGAAATTAGACATGTGTTTCCTTTACCTTGTTTTTGTCAGTTAATATTAAATGACATAATAATATAATATTATAGTTTGTTTCCATATATATTGTTGCTATCATAGTATATAATTAAAGGGTGGAACTGATTATTTTCGTTAGTACTCATAATATAGGCGTCATAATTTTAATTTAATAAACGTTTACGGTATATTCGATATATGCTCGCTATGAATAAAATGATAATTTCAAAAATTATGCCATTTCATTTGAATTTGTTGCAGCAGTACTAAACAAAATGCAATTTTAAACTGTTTTTGTAAACAGAGTATTACAGTTTTGCTTAAAACATTGTTGTTTGCAATAATTTCCTGAAGAAAGGGGATGAGGCAACCACCACACCAAGATTCTTAACTAGTCGTAGAATTGAAAAAGCGGTTTAAACGCATCAAACCGCGGAGCATCATCAGGCTCTTCAAGATTAAACAAATTGACTACAAAGTATCTGAGCGTTTATTATTGTTTCGAGGTCAAACATAAAATAAATACTTAATTTTTATTATATATATAATAAATTTGACAAAATCTCATTCGTTAGACGTTCAGTTAGATTACTTTGATGGCGACTAATGATTTTTTTCTCCTAAACGTGGTTTGTGTAGTCGCTACACCTACAATTCACATCTTTACGACCAATGTAAGTATATCTGTTTTATACCGAATAGGCGGATTTTGTTCTGTCCGATTGATTTTAACCCTGCTTAGATAACGTTATTTTACATTTTATGCATGCCATTTTTTTGACATACTTACATCAAAAGCCACAGTACCTCTTCTTTTTTGAGGCAAGCTGACCTCCCCTAGCACCAAATCAATTTTTGAGTTCTTCTTTCACGACACTTTCAATATTACTGCGTAGGGTTTCGACCAAGTTGGAATTTCCAATCTCTTCTGTATTCATGGGGTTTTCAAAGACAAGGAAAGTGATTTCATATATGACTTACGACTTAATGTCTTTTGATTATTGAAAATGGAATTGTGACAATAAATAACATAAGAGTTTATGAATGCCATGTTTAGTATTCCATAGAATATTGCCATAGGCCACCAGTTGTTGTTTTCTCGAGCACAACATCAACGAACACATTTCGTCAAATGTATCGACACCGCCTTTTTCATTGCAGGAAGACAATAAATAAACCATTTTTGATGGCTTAGGTTTGTCGGAAAAAATAGTCAAAGGGCCTACTTAGATCAGAAGTCTTTGTCGATTTCTCCAATCCCAGAAATCTCAGCAATCTCAGCATTTGTACACTGTAAAATTTCTGAAATTATTTCTTCCGTTTAAAAGACATTGAAACACGAAATTGAATCATTAGCGATTTGCATTGACAAATAGGCCCTCTAGCTGTTCGAACAATGTTTATTCCAGAAATTCGTCCAGCATTTTGACCTTTTGACGTAGTTCGGCAAAGCCTGAGGCACCTCTTGAGGGGATTTATAGGATTCAATGCAATCAACAAGTTTATCTTGCACATCACTTTGAATATTATCATCTAGCATTTTATTTTCTGAATCGCTTCTATTTTCCGATGAATTTGAGTCATCCAAAATGTCTGCAAAAGAGCAGTAATTTTTGTGTCATTCGAACTTCGATCCGTGATCCATGATTACTGGCTAAAAAAGTAAAAAAGTTATGCATAAAATATAACAAAGCTTCATCGAATGAAGAAAAAAATTGCTTAAAAAATCTAAAAGCTACGTAAAAGATGGCGATACGTCTCTCAAACGCACCTCAGAAAACCAACTTGTTATATTTCATCAAAGCAAACACTTAACACCGAAAAACTGTCACCACGCCCTTTACCATGGTCCCCACTGGCAAGTTGCAGTTAACGGCTGAGAAAACTGAACACGAGAATACTCTCTTTTAACAGTTGTGAAAGAGAAAACGAGAAATACTACAAACGTACGTCTCGCAGACGTAGGTTAGCTAAGCAGGGTTAAAGTGCATATAGTCGTATGTATTTTGTGAGAGTATCATATATGTATATTTCTCGGTTCCGCTTCAACTTTGCCATTCCTTAATTGTTATTTATTTAAATAAGTTTAGTGTAGAAAAAAAACTTAGTAAATCAGTTTCACAAGTCACAGTAACATTTTACATCTCACCAATAAAATGTCGGCTTTTAGTAAATCATTTTGGTATTTTGTAATGGGACTATTATTAATTATAATTTATCAAATGCAGGAACGTTTTTTTAAACCAATATTTTAAATATACATACATAATTCGACATTTAATATTTAAAACAAATCTGTTCGACTTTATATAATTTTGAACATTTGTATCTATTATTTTTATGAACCTTAGGTGTCGGCAAAAGATTGCGATCCTTGGGCAAGACCCGTGCCACCCGAGTGCTCATCTATGCATAGTAATTGATGTTTGCTTGTAATTGGTGGCCTTCGTGGTATAGTGATTAGTGGCTGAAACTGGGCTCTTTCCAGTTTGCGATCATTATCAAAAAAATGGAGTCCAAAAGTGCGCTACTAATTCGTATACGGAGGTGGCTGCAGCTACAGATTGAAGCTCAGCATACTTAAATGTAATCGCCAATTATACTATATATCTCGCAATTTATGCACATTAAATAAATCGATAAAGTTCATAAAGCTTTTTGTTTGGATTTGATTTGGATAGAAATTTATTTTCAGTGCCTTTATAACTTTTTGTCCTTCTGTAGATCGGCTACGGAAACAAGAGAATCTAAACAGAATTTTTCATAACGAATCGCTGATTATTAAAGTATCGGTATCGATTTTCCAGTGGGGATGATATGATTTCTTCGTTTCGGCCATTTTTGAGATGTCGTGACTGTAGTGTTTTTTATCGTATTCAGTAATGTTTACAATTTTATCATGGAAAGATATACGCAAGAACGTTTACAAATTTTTTTATTTTATTATCAAAACATTCTTAAGAATTAGGACTGTCTCAAACCACAACTTGGCGTATTATGAGAAAGGATTTAAACTTGCATCCGTATAAAATTGTTCTCACTCAAGAACTGAAGCCATTGGACCACCGTAAACGTCGTGAATTTGCTAAATTTGCTTCGGAACAACTTAAAACCAAAACGATTTTTTTAAGAAAATCATCTTCTCCGATGAGGGTCACTTTCATCTGAGTGGTGCGATAATAAACAAAACTGTCGATTCTGGTGCGAACAAAATCCACAAATTATTCACGAACAACCATTACATTCACCTAAATTGACAGTTTGGTGTGGTTTTTGGTCTGGTGGAATCTACCTACGCCTAACAATTGTTTTTTGTTCCAGGTTCTATAACTGTCCTGGTTTTTATATTAGAATAAAATGCTGATCTGGTGAAGTATGAAAATTGAGCTTCTTGAAATTCTGTCATGACTTCTGTAATTAATTGTGTTTAAAAATGTTAAGTTCTATAAAATAGATAACGCAGAGAGACATCATTTCCTCCCGTCTTACACGGTCGAGGTACCGACAGATTTCCGTCAACCAAACTGATTGATAGTTATGTACAATGTATTTTGAAAAAATATCATCAATCTATGATAATATTCAAAAACAAATAACTTGTTTCATTGGAGAGTACAATGAATAATAATGTAAAATTGCCAATTTGGAGAAACTGATGTCCACACAATATTTTTATAAAAATTACTGCTTTTCGGAAGATGTCTTGATGATTGTTGTTTCGCTGATGGAACATCCGCTGAATGAGATAGATTATTTTCCAAGTTTTTTGCTTCGCTGCATTAAATGTGTTTTGGTAGTAGAAGCTGACTAGTTTGTAAGGACGCTCAAAGTCGAGTCGAGCGCTAAGCCGAGAAATGCGATAAATCAGCTTTAAAACTGTGCACGTACATTTTCATACGGAAATGTAAATGTTTATGTTTATGAATAATACAAGTTAATATGAAAATATAAGTCGATATAATAAAAACTAAAATTTATACATCTTTTTTTTTTATTCTCGACTGTTAAATTTAAATACCGAATGTAGGTATTTCCGATATAAAAAAAAAAGTTTTACCAAAATCAAGCCTCCTCTATTTGACAGATGACATAAGAGATAAAGTAAATAATGGAGCGAAAATTGAGAAGAGAAAATAAAACCAATAAAGATTACTAAAAAACATCTACCTTGTTTATTGTTTTTATTCAGTACTGTCTTGAACTTCCTCCCTTTATTAATCGTGTTTACATATGTTATCTTAAATTTCTTTTCTACGAATATAACTTTCGATCTGAGCAGTGAAGCTTCAAACTTAGTTTTTTCAAGAGATCTTACGGTAGTTGGATCCAAGGCAACCGAAATCACAATTTTGCCTTTAAATTTTTCTATTCTTTTTTACAAAGATCCAATCTTTTGTTGGCAATGAATTTTGAATATTCAATAGAAAAACAATATCCTTTTTTGGTAGTAAGCTCAAATTGTATGTTATTTCGAATGAATAATATATATGTTTATGTCTTTTAAGTTTATCAACAAATAAAGAAACTGGAACTACTGTCTGTTTAGTAAGTAATTTGTTTGTACGTTTCGTATAGCGCTTAGTTCTCTTCGGGTTTTGTGCAGATAATACATTATCTTTTCCAGTTTTGGAGTGCTTAGAAGCTAATTTGCTTTTGCTTTGAGACGCTGCTTTAGTATCCATATTGTGGTCTGCAGATAATTTAGCAACCTTGGTAGGTTTCGAGGAAGACTTGGCCTCTAAAACGTTTTCTGTGGATACGTTTTTATATTTTGCAGGTTTAGATTTTCGAGGAGTGTTTTCGGTTCATTCATATTTTTTATAGATAGTTCATTATGCTTTGTAGATTTTGAGTTACTAGAAGCAAATATGTTCCCATGTTTCATCAAAATTTCGATTTCATCTCACTTTTGTGTAGATAATTCATTATTCAAGTTATTATTTGCATTTGATTCATTAATTTTGGACAAATCCACAGCTTCTGTTTTGCTTTGTGCAAACATTTAATGTTCTTTTGCGGATTTAGAATTCTTAAAAGAAAATTGGTTCGCACTTTTTGATGAGGGCTTACTTTGCTTTCGTTTTCGTGAAGATAATATCTTAGTTTTTTCCTGCTTGAATTCATTAGAAGATAAAATACTTATATTTTTATTTAAATTAATTGGTTTCTCCAAGAATTTCGCGAGCTGACTTATTACCTTTTACATCGAGCTTATTTTTAACACAATCAACGTTTCCTTCTGCATTTGTGTTAGAGGATTTTCTGCAACTGTGTCTGAACTCTGCTTTGAATTATTAGGCGATAATATGCTTACATTGTTATTTTCTTAATTGGTTATTGGACTTAACGTATTAATCTTCTCATTTTTAATACTATCAGTTTTCTTTTCTGCATTTCGTATTCTTACAGGGTCTTCTGCAACTTTTTCCAAATCGAAGATACTCGTATTAAGCCTGGCACGAGCTTGACGTTTTCTGCGTAGACGCCTCTTTTTCGATTTGGAAAAGCCTATTTTATGGCATTTCAAATCAATTTTTAAAGTAGCGAATTTCTTTTGAATGTATTTGACTTCACGGCTAATATTTTTCCCCTTTGCCAGAGTTGGATAGATGAAGAAAGTTTTTATATTTAATGGTCGATTGTTTACACTTATGTCGGTAGCAATAGGAAGATCCGAGCATCCTGTGCCTTTCTCGTCGAGTTTTCCTACTTCCATGCTGTTGTTGTGCGTCCAAGTGCGGATAAGTTTCAGATTCCTGGTTATTTAGCTTTACATGTATTTAGGTGTCAAAACGTTTTGCATGATCTTTGTGGATTACTTCTGCAAAGAAACGATTAAATATTTATTTTATGTTTTACATACTACTTATGCTTATATGGGATTCTATGGTAAATTAATTATGTTCTATTTTGGTAAGTCAGCGAAAGCGTTTTCAAAATCGTCTGACGAACTTTCATTTGAACGATTTGACGATCACGATAAAAAACATATGAGAAGGAGGAATCACAACGACGAATGAGGAATCTCTCTCTTAAGTCGTTAAGTAGATGTATCATAAGTGCTACTGATAAAGTTTTTTAGTCGGCTCACGGACACATAGGAGATCTCTTCGAAAGAACTCAGAATAAATATAATGAAGATTACTAAAATCTAAAAGGTAAGTTTAAATGGGCACATAACTATGCCATATATAGAATATACACAGCTTTACTTATAAGATAGGTGTCGAAAAAGCTTAAAAAATTGTGAGATTAATATTCGGAGATACGATCTATAAAAATTTATCTATTAATCTTAGTTTGTCGAAGGTTTTGTTAATGAAGTTGCATTCTCCAGTTGATAGTATTTAAAATAGCATGAAATCACTCTCCTGGTTTTTTGCGTTATATTGAATTTCCTCTCTCTCAAAAAATGTTCCCTTTTGTTTTTTAAACTGACGAATATATTGTAGTAGAATATATATCCGCCACTCCCATTACTAATTACTCATTGAAGATTTCTTCAAATTATGTGTAGTGCATTTATTTGTTTTTACTAGCATTATTTGTTGTTGCTCGGTAGAATTGGTCGCCTAGTCAATATATAAAGCATAACCTTTAACTAATATGAAATAAAAGCATTTTTCAAATCTTGTCATTACTGAAAAATTTAAACCATAGATGACTGCTGAAAAGTACTGCAACTGTGGCCTTTGAAACCAGAGCAACCCATAATTGCCCAAAATTTAATTTTATTATTCGAAAAATACTATTCAAGTCACACAGCCCCGAACCTTGGTACTTCAAATTGCTTATTTACAGTTATCTCTGTGTTTACAGCACAAAAATACACAATTTGAAATTCTTGAAAAATGGTGCTTTAAGGCGTACTTTATGTGGCTGATAAAAGTTTTTGTGTCAGCGGTGTTCTGCGGCCGCAACATTTTCCACCAACACGAATATCAACGATAGCGATGCAGTGGGTTTGCATACAAACATATTAGCAAATGGTATCACTATAGTTATTACTCAGTGTAGAGTGCATATTTATGTTCATATATATGTACAAACATACACACCATGCATTTGGCACTGTGGTTGACACACAGCCAAGAGCAGAATGCGCTGGCATTATATACATACATACATAGAAATATGCATATGCGTGTGCAGAGGTGAGAGCACGGCATGACATAATGAATGACACTTTGTGACATTTTCACTGAGCCGTTATAGCAAACTTGTAACAATAACAACAAAGAAAATGAAAACAAAATTGAACTCACAAGTAGTTGGCTAACTAAGCAGTTGACTGAGTGGAAAGTCGCCGAAACGACGTGCAAATACGACCGAAACTCGTATATTCTTGAGCATAATTGCTGATAAAAAGTATATGGTATGCAAATACCCGGTCGAAAGCAAAGTGAGAGTTGGTAGGTTATGTTGCCGGCACTCATGCCTCTTGAGAATGCCGCCGAGAGGCATGAAAAATTGTGCCGCAACCAGTTGGTGTTACCATCAACGTCAACGGCATTTGCATACGCCACGTGGTACAATGTTTGCAACCGAGCTGGTTGCAATTATCGTTGCGTTGTATGCCACAAACAATTCGTGTAGCAAGTGACTGTGTGTATGTATGTGTTCAAATGTGTGCATAAAATTGCATTCGAAAGAGAAAATTTGCGGAAGGCACCTAGAAGGATGTCGTTTCTGTCACTGCTGCGCTGGCGTGTCGTCGTTGTGTGCTCGTCAATCATGCGATTTACATGCAACAACCGTATTTTACACTTTCCCCAACTGGGGCATAAATTCTTGTATTTCATGCGTACGGCATGCAAGGTATGTATGTCGTTGGCGCATTGCCTCCGATAGTGAAGTGTGCAGTCACCATTTATGAATGTGTGTGAGTATTTTCATAACTTCGTATAAAAGACAATAAATTCATGACAAATTGTATTTAGCATTGCATACCTGCAGGCGTGCATAGGGGTTTGATATAGTAACCCTCGAACTTTCTAGCCGAAATTTATGAGTATATTATAATCAGGTTTGTATTTATCACAAAATTTAAAAATTAAAAAAAAAATGATTGTCGCTCGGTGATTCGAACCCTGTTTTTGGAAAACGGTAAGACCGCTTCTCACCACTGTTTCACGTTGTTTAAGCGAAGAAGTGACTTTTACCTGGAGAAACTAGTTTGAAGAAGACGACAACTGTTTTCTTGGTCAGAAATAGTGATGGCCACCGTTTTCTGGAATTCACTGGGTTCTTCTATGACGAATTAATTGACCGATTCGACTCCGAATTACAGAAAAAACGGCCCCAGTCTATGTTCTTATCGAACCGCGCTCGTGTTTACGCAAAGATTTCAATACAATTGGCCTCAAAACCATGTAACGTCTCCACTTCTACTTATGTTGAAGTTTGCCAAAGTCCCCCCTCAATTTTTTTATTAGTAATTTTTACAAAAGCAACAACTTGTCGGCTTCTAAAATATATCAGTTTAATTAAGTATGAAAAAAATACGAGTCTTCAATTATTATGCGTTTATTTTCCAACACTTACTTTCTTATTTATTATGAAATTCCATTAAAATTGCTCACAACAAGTAGTAAGCACACTGCTAGGATGACAGAGAAGCTTGCCCATTCCCGTGGTCCACCGCCTGTTCACTGGTGGGCGATTGTATGCTGTTGGTTTGGCAGTTGATGTGCCGTGGAAATTAAGTGGCTTTTCATTAGTTGAAGAAGCGTGGATGCCAGGAACAATTTATAGAATTTGGCACTTAAAAACTAGAAAATTGTTGTTGGAAAAATTTTGGGAAAGGACTTTGGCAGATTCAGGAACGTTAAAAGATCAATATTGTAATACTTAATTAGGCATTTGTTAATGAGGTTTTATTTGACATACTTTAACTGTTTAATAAAAACTAGGGGATAATGGTTATGGCAGAAGTGGCACAATATTTTAAAAGCGTTAGACAAACTTAGTTTGAACGACTTTCTCTGATTTCGATAAAGAAGGTACGGGTAAAAGATGGGAAGGTTAAGGAGGACAAGAGAGGACGAGATCTTGTCATCAATATATTTGTTTATATATATTTTTGAAATTATACAAATTGTGTATACTTTAGTACCAGTATAACCAACATTGTCAACGCTATTTCGAGGTTCAATCTACAATTATTCTTTCCAACAAGTGATGTTTTAGCTGGAGTAGGAAATGGAGAAGTAAAGTCCTCAATTGATTGTCTCAATATATGGTCAGCGACTTGGACGATGTAAATATACAACGAGACGACTCTACGAAGATATTTATACGTTCGTTTAACGCATTAAAACACAGATCCTATGCTGTATAGCACACGTTGTCCAAATAGAATATTCGTGGTGGCAGAGAACGGGAGAGACTTTGCTCTGTTTTGGAAGGATTAAATGAGTAATGATTTTCTTCATTTCAAGGAATTTGTATTTTAACAGCACAACAAAAATAATCAAAACTATAATTCTTATTCGAAATGTGCCTTAATCACCTTGTTCGTTTCGGTAGGTGTTACAAATTCCCGCAAAGAGAGCATGAGAGCAAAATCAAAATAACCTCCTGACCAGTAACTTAATCATTGCTGTATATGCTAAGGGTCGGTTTTTCATCAGTTTCAGGCTACACTTTTAATCTACGTCTTTTGAAATGAAAAGGAGTCGAATGCCTATCCTACGCTTGGTAATTTGCATTAGGCACACCTCGCTCAACAGCAGCTCTAATATTTTATTTAACGCCTCTTTATTATACTGAGTTATAAAATAGGACAAAGAAAATAAGCTTATGCCTGCGAAAGTCCACACACCTACATTTATATAATATTAGTTGAATGTGCATATTGGTCTTATTTAATATACTGAAATATCCGTTCATAATATGGTGAGTGTTACTCACTGACACGCAACCTTCGGTTAGACATAATTTACGCGCGGGTTTCTACATTACCACTCGGCATATTATTATACTCGTACATGTCCACTAGTATCATTGAACTTTTCGACGAAAGGAAGTTGCTACTAACGAAAATTGACTAATTTCACGCTACAATGCCTCACTATAATTTGCCGCCAAAAACAGTCAAGAGAGTGACACATTTTAAATTCTATTTCCGCTATTGCCACTCAAGGACTTTATATGAGAAAGCACTTGAAAACTTTGAACGCTAAAAAAAAAATTAAAATCTTCTCAACGAAATGAAAAAGCGCAAATATTTCGGTGAGTAGTCAGTAGCCCAAAACGCGTAGTAACCAAAGACTTCAAAAGCCATAAATCATGCAGTCAGACACAGCAGTCACAATCTGCTGAGACTGTAGTAGAGTGCGGGAGCAGCGAAAGGAAAAGTTGGTCAAAATTAAGTCAACAGCATTGTGTGGGAGAGCATTTGCTTCAGCAGGTTCAATATTTGGAGATTTAATCAAATTACAAATGTTTGACGGAAGAAAGGATATATGAACAATGCCATGGTTTGAGATTTTTTAACAATAGTTTTATAAAGCCTTAAGATGTGAGAAGTTAATTTACATACAGAATGAATTTTTTTTTCGAATATTCACTATCTCTTTTTTTAAAAATTAACAACATGTTGTACAGAGTATAACAGTTTTTTTCACCTAACGGTTGTTTGTAATACCTAAAATTTATTGAGATAGTGAATTATTATACAAAAGTGCAGGACGACGAAACGAATTGAACTCTCCTAATCTCAGACTCGATCCTCAGCTTGAACAATTTCCTTGGACTCTTACTGTACTGTTCACTGTATAGAACTTAGACCTGAGTTCGATCTTAGCATCCGGCTCAAAT